CTCAGCAAATACGCGGCGTCGTCTGGTTAGACAAGGGTGTTAAAAACGGAACATATGACCACCTTTTGCCGCCGAAAGTGGTCTCCGGCGACAATTCCAAGTTCAAATACAATAATCCGAAAGGCCACTGGTCTGCTATAAGGACAACCCGTATAGTATCGGAGACTCTACGGCTGGGCTTGGAAGATGTGAGATGGTTCGTTATGGGAGACGATGATACGTTCTTTGTGCCCGATAATTTAGTTCGGGTTTTGTCTAAATACGATCATAATCAGTTTTATTACATCGGGAGTTCGTCGGAGAGTCATTTGCATTTTGCAGAACATTAATTTCTCCTACGGGATGGCTTACGGCGGCGGAGGGTTCGCCATCAGCTACCCTCTGGCTAAAGCACTAGAGAAAATGCAAGACCGGTGTATACAGAGATACCCGGGATTGTACGGCTCCGATGATCGCATTCACGCTTGCATGGCGGAGCTCGGGTTTCCCCTCACCAAGGAACCGGGATTTCACCAGGTTTGCTTGTTTATATTCATTAATATGGGTGTTAAAATTAAAAAAAAAAAGTTATTTAATGAATGACATTTGGATAAAAGGTCCTATAAAATCTTGGAAAAGCTTCATAAATGTCATAAGCATAGGTCTGTTTATCTCGTATATCACCGCGTTGACAGGCACATAGCTTCGGACAGCTGCGTGTGTTGATCATCGGCGTCCATTACAATGAATATAATCAAACCAAAGTCTCCCCTAAACCATTTTACACGTATGAATTTAAAATTCTCTCTTTGAGTCCCGCCGAATCCTTTTTGCTCTAGGTTCTTAATTCATTTTCTTTCGCCACACGTGTAATACAAGAAGTCGATGTTGTTCGAGCTCCATGTCTGAAGTAGACACGTATTCATTCCAAAGTTTGTGCTTTTGGGTCCAATTCACTCTCTTAGTTGCTTTCATTTTGTTTTTTACTGTTAAAGACTTAAAGCTATCTAATTTCAATCGATATTCTTTTGATTCATAACGTGGCGCATTCCGACTGCCACTACCCTTTTAGTTGGATCAAATTTGTAGGCTTTGGCCATAAGTAGCTCCACAATACTATGCTGCTTTTGATAGTAATTAGGGTCGGAGGTCATAATATCTAATCAAATATTACCTTTTGAACAGTACGGCGTTTTTGGTAACCTCTTGGCTGCACCCCGTTGCTCATCTCGTCTCCATTCACCACCTAGACAAGGTCGAACCCATATTCCCCAATGTGAACCGGGTTCAAGCCCTGAAACGTCTCCACCTCCCAATACACCTTGACTCTGCTGCATTGATGCAGCAATCGGTTTGCTACGACAAAACCAGGAGGTGGACCGTCTCTATCTCATGGGGCTACACGGTTCAGATATAGAGGCATATTCTCAGTGAGAGAGTTGGAAATGCCGGCCCGAACTTTCCTGAATTGTACAAGACAGCCGATTACACTGGCTTCTCTTTCAATACCCGACCCCGTGCCCGACATGTCTGCCAAAAACCCTTTCTGTATTAATTGTCTAAAGCATCACGCGACAAGAAGACAAACCAAACGGCCTGCGAGCAAGTGCATCACCGAGCTTCGAACCCGGACTGCAACTGGAAGATGCTGGATCCTTCGCGGATTGATAGAGTCGAGGTTTACAAAAAACCCGACACAAACTTATGGGACAAGGTAAATTCGTGGTTTAATTATAGTGTTAGCCCCTTACCATGAAGAAATTTGAGATTTGTTATTTTTAGTTCCTTTGCTCTTTGTTGTGTAGCAGCCTCCACGAAGGAATTGTTGCAGGGTGTTGCGAACGAAAGAGAAAAACACCATGGTTATTGACGTGGGACTGTGTGGAGATGATGAAGTCATTGAATTGAGATAAGCAACTTTTCATTTTTCCTCCCGCTCTTCGACCTCATTTATTTTCTCTATTTTTTCTTCTTATTTTCGATGAATTTCCGGACAATATGATGAAAGTTGACAAGTTAATCATCAATAATTGTTCTGTTAACTTTTTCACTTGTCATGAATTAGCGACATGTATTATCAACTTAAACAACACATATTTGTGCTAACTATTTTGACATCTAATTCAATGGAAAACTTAATAGGTGATTAAAAAAAGAACTTAATTGAAATACTACTATAGTTTGATGATTCAATTAACATATTTGGGACCATTTTAAAATGTAGCTGATAATTGTAGGGTCCGTACGATTAATCCTACAAAGAAAGTAGAGTCTGTCGTGTCCTGGCAAGTGGCAAGTGAGCTACTGCCAATTGTCTTGACTCGGACATACGCTAAACTCAAGTCGTCGCCTTTGACTCGGTCTTAGCAAAGACAAACTCAAAATTTTCTCCTTCCCTCTTATCCTTCATCCATTTTCATGTTCTTCGATCATTAACTCCGTTTTCTCTCATGGAAACTTTACTTCCAAGACCTGGGTTCTATTTTTTCCTTTTTTGTAGCTTCTTTGTTTATGATCTCTCGTTATCGTTCTCCCCGATCGACAATTATCTCATCAACTGTGGCGCCTCCCTCGATTCCGTCATAGACAACCGTCGATTTGTCTCCGACTCATCCGATTCTCCCGAATCATATCACTCTTCTGCTTGGACCTTTTCACTCTGTGCCGGAACTCTTCTTCCGGGTCTGCCTCAAATCTACCACACCGCCAGCTTTTTCAACGCGCCGTCAAAATACGTTGTCAATGTCAAAGACCCGGGGATGCACATGGTACGTCTCCATTTTCACCGATTCATTCATCGAGATTGAATATGGGTAACTCTCAATATCACGTTTTGGTTAGTGAATCGGTAGCTTTGACCAAATTTAGTGGTGGGACTTCAGTGGGTAATCCAAAGATCATGGAATATTTGCTTTGGATTAATTTAGAGAAGCTTGATATCACTTTCGTTCCTGCTAAAAATGGAACTTTGCATTTGTTAATGCAATCGAAGTGATATTTGAACCTAAAGATTTGAAACTGGAAACTGCTCAGTATGTTAATGGCGATCAAATTGAGAAATTTGAGGGTTTAAATAAACAAGCATTTGAAGTTGTTTATAGGGTCACCGTAGGAGGTGTTGAAGCTACCCCTTTCAATGATTCTTTGTGGAGGACTTGGATGCCTGATGATGCTTATATGAAATCGAGTGAGGAGTCGACTAAGGTGTATTTTGGTGGTCGGATTAAGTATCAAGATGGTGGTGCGATTGTGAAGTCGGTCCGGTTAATGTATACAATTCTGCTCGGTTGATTCAGAGCAAGAATGCTTCGATTCGGAATACGAATCTTACTTGGGAGTTTCCAGTGATTGAGGATTACAAGTATCTTGTTAAGATGCATTTCCGTGATATTGCTAGTATTTCCATTGGATTGTTGTTTTTCGATGTTTACGTGAACGGACATTTAGCATATAAAGATTTGGATCTCTCCGCTGTTACAAATTACGTGTTGGCTTCTCTGTTTTATGTGGATTTCGTGGTCGATGCCGATCGTTCAGGGGTCGTGAGTGTAAGTGTTGGACCTTCGAGCAAGAGCATGGCATATACGGTCGATGCGATCTTAAATGGAGTGGAGATCATGAAGATGAATAATTCTGTCAGTAGTCTCGAGGGTAAGGCGCCTGAAGAGTTGCTTTTGAAGTGTTGGCCGAGAAGAATTGTTGGCATTCTGCTTCCCTTGATTGCGCTTTTATGTTTGCTGCTGAGCTTCTCGGGAATCATGCATCGGAGGAAGAATAAGGCAGACACCGTGGCGTGGTCGAAACTGCCGATGGACGTCCATAAAATTTCTTCAAAGCAAGCCAAACTACAATTGTCAAACATCGAAACATAAATATTGTAAGAATCAAATTCCACTGGCTTTATGGTATATTACTATTACAAGTAGCCAGTAGCGCTTACTGAGCACTTTTGATTTTTGAAGGTCGGTAGTTGTAATACATAAATTTGTCCACTCAAGTAATATACATTTTCGTTTGATTGTTAATTTAAAAATTATTAGTTAAATCTTTAGTTCAAAAAATTACTATTTAAATCTTGGTGGTCCGTCCATTTAATACAAATGTACTATTATTATATTTGTGTTATAGTATAGCACATTTACTTGTATGTTAATTTATATAATATAGAATTACATTATATAATACATGTTAGTATACTGTAAAATAACGTCCATATATAAATCCGTCATTAAAAATGCAATATAGCTTACCATTACGTCATCTTTGGTGTTTGCTTAAAGTTAAATCCATGTTGTTCAATAAAATAATGTTTAATAATTAGTGGGAAGAATACTGTCCTTCAAAAACACATGGTAAATTTAATAATAATTAAAAAAAAAACTCCCGAAGATTGAACGACTCCTTGAAATCTATAATTCTATTGTTTATATCTTTCAAATCCAAGTAAATTATACACGGTAATTGAGCAACGAGACCATAAGTTGGATGCTTATTTCACCAATGAATAGTGATTACATTTAATAATTTTAAACAAAATTAATTAATTATAAAATAAAGCATAACACTATATAAAAACAATACCATAAACATCGTCGATGTTAATCAACAATGTATTTAACTAAAATTATTTAATATATATTTAAATAAAATTTGAAAATTCTGTTACTAGCGTAATCGTAGTTTAAGAATTATTGATGTAGTTTGGAATTATATTATTGGCGATTAGGTGTACCCCGCGTTTCACTCACTTCCTCACTCCTTCCATTTAGGCCACGTGACACGGGTGCCGTTTTCTCATGGATTCCTACTTTATAATATAAAGACTAACCTCAAACGCGGCCTTCGTTTTTCCTAGTTTCACTGCCACACTAACAATTCCTGCCTCACCGACCAATCAGAATATCCCATCTACATCACAGCCGGTGACTCTATCAGTCAGACTTTTACTATATGTACTTCGTGTTCGTAGCTGAAAACAACATATCCTCTCTTCCTCTTTCTCTCCCTCTCATTTCTCCTTTCAATTTATAAGTACGCAGAACTGAGCTTCCTGTTTATGATTTCGATTTTATTTGTTTGTTATTTTAATTCATTTTTTCTTCATGGGGTTTCCAGTTGTTTACAGTGAAGTTTTCTTCTTACCAAAAATCTTTCTTCACGCCCTTTCATTTCTGGGTTTTATCCGGTATTTAATCGTTTCACTTTTCAACTACCTCGGACTCTCCGATTTCATCGAAACGGACACCTTATGGCCGGAAAACCCGACCCGAACGACGCTCGAGAAGCCTCGGGTATCCGCTCTCCTGATCAGGGAAATCCTTCCGGTTATCAAGTACGAGGAGCTTGTGGTGGTGAAAGGGGATCCGCCGGATAGTTGCGCCGTTTGCCTGTACGAGTTCGAAAAAGGGGAAGAGATCAGGTGGTTGAGGACCTGTCGTCACGTTTTCCACTGGGCGTGTTTGGATCGTTGGATGGACCATGATCAGGTAACGTGTCCGCTTTGTAGGACACCGTTTGTGCCGGAGGAGTTGCAGGAGGAGTTTAATCAACGGCACTGGGCAGCTTCCGGGATCGCCGATTCTTACAGTGACTACAGTTGGGTCCCGGGATTGTAAATTGTTTGTCTTTGTCAAAAGGCCGGATTTTTTTCCCTAATGGGTTTAGTGAAAATTGTACATTGTAAATGTAAACGGATCAAGGTTTTCGTTTTTCAGGCTGAAGATTTATCATACATTTGAAACAAAAAAATAGATGGAAGTTACATTAAAAATGTTGGTTTGAATCCTTAGGATGAAATTCAGAATTCTTCAATGTATTCCAACTTGTTTTCGGTTTACACGTGGTGATAATGTAAAAATTAAAAGATAATCAAGTTGTAGAATTACGATTATTTTTCATTTTTAACTTTAAAATTTCACTCGTTAATGACAGTCATTAAATTTCAAAATCAAAATTAATTAAATTGGCAATTTATATATAATACGTGAACTCTTAATAAATTTAAGAAGATGAATTTAACAATTTCCTTTTGTACTGAAATGCAAAGACTAAAGAACCTATGTAACCGTGCATGGATTGACTCACATCTCATCTCCCCGACAAAACTAACGAGAAAAAATATACAAGGATGTTCATGAATTAGATTGGTTTAAGTTTTTAGTCCTCACGAATTCGATCATAGTATAATATTTTTTATTAAGATGTGATTCAAGTTTAAAAATACTCTATTTGGTCTGAAATTCAATCCAATCCTCTATATATATAAAAGAGAGATTTAGTTAAAAAGTATAGACAGAGTGTATTATAATAATTATTCATAAATATATAAAGATTAATGATATTATTATTTTCGAGTCATGTCAGATATTTTTTACTTTAAATCTGAATTCTATTGACTTTATCCATAAAAAACTCAAATCAAACTCAAATTAAAAAAAAAACAATCTTAAAAATTTGAATCATTCGTTCATAAATATAATTTATATCTTTCAAATTTTCAAAGGAAAAAATTGCATTTTCAGTTGTTACAATATGAATGGTACAATCATGCTTTGTTTCGATTGTTTATGTTCACATTTGTGGTTGGCATGGGTATTGCCACCGGCTCATGCTTAATGATCGTGTTTTGTTTACAACGTTTCATGTTTGGTCTTGTTAGGCTTTTAGGTTGTAAGTTGGTATTTTTTTGTCCCTTAACCGATCATTCTTGTTCATTTGTTTAGTGTTTTCTGGTTTAGGACTAGGTTGGTTGGTGTTTGGGCTAATGGATTAGGTTGTAACTGTTGGACTTCCTGCCAGGCTTAGTGTTTCTACTTTCAATGCCTTTTCCAAATCATTACGAAATGAAGATACACAGGGAGATAGTGAGAATAAAGACTACTAGGAGGAATATATTACTCCAAGTTTTTGTTTATAATATTATGATATTGATCGCTTATGATTTAAATAATTCTTTTAACTATATATAATATAAATGCATTCTTTCATATTCCTTCTCACACGTACAACATTCTTAATGTTATTTAATAAATCAAATGCATATAAAATTATATAATAAATTCATACTACTATTTTTAAAAAGATCTAGTTTTAAGGATAGAACATTATGAGAGTATGAAGGAATCAATAAATTGACGTGAAGAAAGAAATTGTAGAATCTTGCAGTTGGATGATCAAATTGAATAAGACGTAAAATTGAGAGATTAAATTAAAAAAATGTTGTCAAAAAGATGAATTTGAGCCATACATGTATTTTGAAGTGATTGGGGAGCATGTTATTCAAATTTAATAAAAAAAATTAACTTAAAACGATAGAGATGCTAAAGAAATAAGGATCAAATCACAAATAATCAAAATCTTTAGTTAAAGATTAAAACGATACCGTTTTTAATTTTTAATTTTCCAAAGTTTATAAATTTAAACTTAAAATCTAAAAAAATTAAATTAACTTGATGAATTTAAAAACCTAAACGAATCGAATTTTATTCGTCTCTCGATAGGGTTTCAAGCTATATGCTGGTCTGGACTTGAAGTCTGTTTTGTTGAGGTTGATTTATCAATAATCAGCTTATAAATTCGTATGATATTCTACAATGGTATTTACATTGTAAGGGGAATCTTTAACATCTTTTAAGATAGTAATAACTAAACACAAATATTTTAAAGAATAATGAGCAGTTAAGAATTCTAGAACCTTTTATTGTCCACTAAACTTCAAAAATAAATTGAACTAAGTAGAAGGCTGTGCCTAATTTTTGGGAGATAAAAGACCAATTTTACAACTACTTATGGTAGAATCAAACTAAAGCAGGTAGAGATAGGGTCCCTCCAGTGTTCCATTCTTCAACTCGCAAAACCATTTTCTAAACTACGTTTTTCAACTCAATGGAAATTATTGCTTGAATTATTGACTCATTATTACTCGACTTCTGTCGTACATCGAGTCCCGCCAAACATAAATATTTTAATTTTTTTCAATGAAACAATTTTATTTTATGAGCTTATAAAGTTCTTAACTGAATCCAGGGATAAAATTCCGACCGAAAATCATACCCGACAAGGTTTAAGTTTCCAGCAAATCCAAGTTATGGTAACAAAAGAACAGATGCTGTTGTAAAAGGATGTTCAACAGAGGGTATATCTGCAGTTTTAAATCGATTCATACAATACAATCACAAGATCGAATCGTGTATTAACTCTGATTATGCTTTTAGTTCTTTCACTGTGTTGAATTTTTACATTTGATATTTCTACTTTTATTTAATATAATAATTAAAACAAGTGTTATTCTTTCTAGAGATGAATTAATCCATCTCACCACAGTATCCATCCTAATTACAAATAACAACCACATGTATTAAGGTTTATTAGTAACACTGTGCGAAACTTAAATTTCAAATTTTACACAGTAGTGGGGCTTAAATAGGCATTAGACCTATAAATATGAGTAATCTAATGAAATAAATTACTGTAATTTCCTAAATATTTGGGAAACGTTTTCATGGCAGTGGTGGTTCGGTATTGACGGCATTTTAGTGTTTTCCAGATATGCATAAGAAAATAACCCACCGTTTGTTTATCTCTGTTTCCATTCGTTCTTTCAACTCTCAGACCAAACACAAAAACTAAAAACTCAAACCTCTGTTATCTGTTTCATTATTCACTTCTCCTTTCATGTCTTCTCTTTCTTTCTTCTTCTGCCTTTTACTCCTTTCGTTTGACACCCAAAATGCAATCTTTGTCATCAAACCTCTACCAAACGAGCCTTCAAAATTCTCCCTTTCACACGCAGAAACATTCAAAACCGTTTCCAAAGCCAGGAAAGTGGAGTCCACTGACGTGGTCATCAGAGGAAACTCAACCATTCACAGCGTTAACCGTACTTTCCAACTGGGTTTCTTTAGCACAAATGGTGAATCCAATTGGTATTTAGGGATTTGGTACTCTTCTATCCCGACCCAAACCCGGGTTTGGGTCGCAAACCGCGAAAAACCGATCAAAAACATCACCCGAGCTTCACTTGTGCTCACTGAAACAGGGCAATTAGCAGTAAAGGAATCCCCAGACTCAGTCGTGTGGCTGAGCTCAAACACTGAAAAAGCAAGAAAGCTCCATCTTTTAGAGGACGGGAATCTCGTTTTGTATTCTTCAAAGGGGTCGAAAATATGGCAAAGCTTCGATCATCCAACGGATACGTGGCTGCCGGAAATGAACGTCTCCGCACAACGACCTTTAACCTCTTGGAAGAGCTCGGTTGACCCGTCACCTGGTCTTTTCTCTTTAAGGCTAAATCCCAAAGAGTTCAACAAGTTCGAGCTGGTTTACAATTCAACCACGGTGTATTGGTCCACAGGGAACTGGACAGGGAAAGCTTTCGTCAATGTCCCACAAATGACAATACCTTACATCTACAATTTCCATTTCTCCGACCCTTACTTGCCGACGGCGTCATTTCGATACACGGAAAGACCGCTGGATAACGGTGTCGAACCGCCTTTGACGAGGTTTCAGATTGATGCTAACGGACAGCTGAAGCAATTCACATGGTCAACAGAGACGGAGAATTGGAACATGTATTGGTCAATGCCGGAGGATAAGTGTGAAGTCTACGGTTTGTGCGGTAATTTTGGGTATTGTTCTGCGAGTGCAACGTTGAAACCTTGCATTTGTCTTAACGGATTTAGGCCTTTTGATGATGGGGGCTGGAACTCTGGGGATTTTACTAGTGGTTGTAGACGGGAAAGTGACGATTTTTGTGCTGATAATGATGGGTTTATGGAACTTGGTAATGTAAGGTTCGATGGAGGGAATAGCGTGTCGTTTCAAGGTACTAGGAGTGCTTGTGAGAGGTCTTGTTTGAGTACATGTTCTTGTCTTGGATTGTATCATCATGGGGGAACTAATCTGTGTAAGAATGTGCACGGGACTTTGCTGAATTTGAGAAACATGAGCTCTGATGGTTCAAATCAGGATGTCTTTTATGTTAGGGTGCCAAGAGATGGAGTTGCGAAGAAACATGCGTCTAAAACCAAGGTTTTGCTTGGTAGCATTGCTGGATCTGTTGTTGCTTTGGGGTTAATGGGAGTGATCTTGTTGGTTTTGAAAAAGATAATAGAGAACAAGGGGAAAGATGGTGATGATGTTTTTCCAGGGCTGAGTCTCAAAGTGTTCACTTACAAAGAGCTCAATGGTGTGACTAGAGGGTTCTCGGTGAAACTCGGGCAAGGTGGATTCGGAGCAGTATTTGGAGGCGAGTTATCCGATTCAACTCCTGTTGCTGTTAAACGCCTTGAAAGGCAAGGAAGCGGGGGAGAAAGAATTTCGTGCCGAGGTGTGTACTATTGGCAACATCCAACATGTTAATCTCGTGAGACTCAGAGGGTTTTGCTCTGAGAATTCTCATAGATTACTGGTTTATGATTACATGTCTAATGGTCCCCTGAGTGCATACTTATGCCCTGATAGTCGTAATTTGTGTTGGGATGTTAGGTTCAGGGTGGCACTCGGCACTGCAAGAGGCATAGCTTATTTACACGAGGAATGCAGGGATTGCATCATTCATTGTGATATCAAACCTGAAAACATTCTCTTGGATAGTGATTACACCGCAAAAGTATCGGATTTTGGATTAGCAAAGCTTGTTGGCAGGGATTTTAGCAGGGTATTAGCTACAATGAGGGGCACTTGGGGGTTATGTTGCTCCAGAATGGATATCCGGCCTAGAAATTACACCGAAAGCTGATGTTTATAGCTATGGAATGACGTTGTTGGAATTAATAGGTGGTCGCAGAAACGTGCAGGCACCACAATCTGCAGGAAATGGAAATGCTTTTGGCGAGCGAGTAAATATGGAGAAGTGGTTTTTCCCACCATGGGCGGCACGCCGAATAATCGAGGGCAATGTAGCTGCAATCGTGGACACTCGACTCGGTGTTGCATATGATTTAGAGGAGGCCAAGCGTCTTGCTTTTGTAGCAATCTGGTGCATACAAGATGAAGAGGAAACGAGACCAACAATGGGCATGGTAGTAAAGATGTTAGAGGGAGTGGTGGAAGTGGCCATTCCTCCGCCACCTAAACTGATACAGGCAATAGTTGCCGGTGATTCTTATAATGGAGTCAGAATGGATTCCAGCATGTCAAAAGGCGGTGGATGCTCGGATTATAACGTCGGATTTTCCAGTGCCGGTTCACGGTCGTCTCTTAGTAACTTCTCTTCCCCTTTGGATCAGAATTTGTAAGTCTAATACTCATAGAAAGGTGAAGCATCATTGGCTTATAATGACGGCTTTGACGTTAGCCAAAGTTATGTACACATACGAAAGGTAATACCCGACCATCATCATTACACTTGCATTGCATCTCCACTTTGGCTTTCTTGTATTCTAAAGAGTCATTATCACCTTTTTTTGCTATTCTTCCACAAGTCAAAAACTGCAGGTGTTTCTGGTTGATCTGTGGGTAAACTAACAAAAGGTGTAAATTTTAATTATGCCTTAAAATCTTTATAATAAAGAAATATAAAAAGTTATTGAAAATCAAATAAATAACATTATTGTTTGTTGTGTATTATTTGTATCACTAAAATTTTATTTTTGAATTTTAGTTGAATATCAAATAAATAACATTATTGCTTGGTGGTTATATTTCTGCTTTATCTTTGGGACCGTATGGATATGGTCCGGGACACGTCCTCGAACAACAGAAAATAACTATATTAACGATAAACAGATCAGACATTGAAATGAATAATGCTTGTCCTAAAGCTCGAGAGGCTAAGACTCAGTCAACTACCTCCTTTGTTTCCATGGTCATCCTAGTTTATAGCCCTAATCGATCATCTCCTAAAACCAAATTGAAAAAAGAGAGAGAGAGAGACAGATTGATTTTTCTTCATATCGACTCGCTTGAATTCATAGAATCAAAGAAAATAAAACCAAAAAAATCAAAGGGGTTCACTAAAAGTGCGCCAAAATTGCGAATACTAAGGAGTATGAGCTGCAAAATGCAGAGGGGACCTCTGCTGGTTCGTCACCTACGCAGAAACTTATGGACGATCAACCTCGAAGTGAACCATCACGGATCTCCCCCTTTGAAGTTACCGAGCTGCATCCGGCACCGACCGGTTTAATCCTCGAGGGAGGAGATTATCCTCCAATTCAAAGCTTTGCAGACGCAAAAAACATATGGTGTATTGAGTCCTCCAAGCTATGGGCCATAGCTACTCCTATTGCATTCAATATTTGGTGCAATTATGGAATCAACTCCTTCACCAATATCTTTGCCGGCCATATTGGTGATATCGAGCTCTCAGCTGTCGCCATTGCTTTATCTGTCGTTGCAAACTTCTCTTTTGGCTTCTTGGTTAGCTTCTCTAACATTGTCTGTCGTTTATTAAGAGCAAAATCTTTACGCTTGTTCATTAAATCTACAGCTTGGAATGGCCAGTGCGTTAGAGACGCTATGCGGGCAGGCATTTGGCGCGGGACAAATAGACATGCTAGGCGTATATATGCAGCGATCATGGATAATCTTATTTGGGGCCTGTTTCGCGCTGTTGCCGCTCTACTTATACGCCACCCCACTCCTGAAACTCCTTGGACAAGAGTCTGAAATCGCAGATCTTGCCGGAGATTTCACCATGCAAGTTGTACCTCAAATGTTCTCGTTAGCCATTAATTTCCCGACACAGAAGTTCCTACAGTCACAGAGCAAGGTTGGGGTCTTGGCCTGGATTGGCCTTGCTGCCTTCATTGGACATATCATGATAATTTACCTCTTCGTTATCGTGTTCGAGTGGGGTACCATTGGTGCAGCGGTGGCTTACGACATCTCGGCTTGGTTGGTTGCACTGGCTCAACTTGTGTATGTTGTCTGCTGTTGCAAGGATGGTTGGACTGGGTTATCATGGTTAGCCTTTAAGGATCTTTGGGGTTTCACAAAACTTTCTATAGCTTCGGCCGTGATGCTATGCTTAGAGATTTGGTATTTCATGATGATCATTGTTCTCACAGGTCACCTCGACGATCCGGTCATTGCAGTTGGCTCTCTTTCCATCTGGTATTGATATCAAGATCATTACTCTAAATCTCTGGTTTATTTTTGATTAATCCAGCTTCATTTCAACTCAATGTTTCAGCATGAACATCAATGGCTGGGAAGGCATGTTGTTTATAGGAATAAATGCAGCTATAAGGTAACAAAAAAACTCAAACTTTCTTATGTAAAATACCCTGCCCCTTTGGAGAACTGATGTTGAACTTGATTGGGTTTTCAGTGTGAGAGTGTCGAATGAGCTCGGATATGGACATCCGAGAGCCGCAAAATATTCTGTGATAATCACGGTGATACAGTCGCTTCTCATAGGAATACTTTCGGCGCTAGCAATCTTGGCTACGCGAAACAAATTTGCTGTCATCTTTACCAATAGTATAGAGATGCAAAAGGCCGTGGCTCGTTTGGCTCATTTTCTTGGCATAACCATGGTGCTAAACAGTGTGCAGCCGGTTATATCAGGTTAGCAGTTGAATTGAAACCCCAACATCACCCAAAGGAGTGATGAAATGATTTTGTGGCATCATGTTGCGATTTACAGGTGTTGCTGTGGGAGGAGGTTGGCAAGCCCTGGTAGCTTATGTAAACTTGTTCTGCTATTACGTTGTTGGCCTCCCACTTGGATTTTTTCTCGGCTATCATAACCATTCTGGGGTGGAGGTAATTTCAAATCACATTGCTTTCCAATTATTGTATTAGTTAATATAGAAGACGCCATTTATTATTGCAGGGAATCTGGATTGGCATGATTTGTGGGACATTCTTGCAGACATTAATCCTGTTGTATATTATCTACAAAACTAACTGGAACACAGAGGTGGGGACATCCTCTTTCGTAAACATGAATGAATATATTGAGCCACATGCTTGTAAAATTCTAAACATGGGATCCATCCTTTTACAGGTTGAACATGCATCGGAACGAATGCGGCAATGGGGAGCTGAAATGAACGTCCCCCACTACGGAATCAATTAGTCACAGCAAACCTAAGACCTACTTTGTACACTTTTTGTACCATTCTTCTTTGGTTCCTTTTCTTTAGAGCCAAGTATAGTTTTAAACATTTTTAAAAAATTATCCCAATGCAAAGAGTACGTGGCAACATATATGTAAATAGCTAGGTTTGGTTACCGGATGAAAACATGTTAGACAACGAAATTGTAACTATAATTTAGTGTTAAGACAAAGAAATAGCTAGGTTTGGACAATGAATGCCAAAACCACTTAACAACTATGACAATAAAACAATTATCATGGAACTTTACCAATAAGACTTCATTAATCTCGTTTTCCTCGTTACTACTTCATTAAGCTAATCTCGACTCGGCCACTTAGACTCGTCCGAGCTTACTCACCTGGAACTTGACGTCGCTGATGGTGACATATAATTACGGGAGTCAAATGTTATCTGATTTACTCAATTTCTTAGACGATTTCTGAGACTTAAACCAGTGATTTAAGGCTCAAAGAGTCTAGTCCCGTCATCTATTCAGGATTCTCCTAATCAGGTGCCAGTTGTTCTCAAGTGTAAGCCACGTTATGTCTGACGCTACAGTAGTTGAGTGCACTTTTGTGCTAATTGTTAAGTCACTAAATAATTAGGAAAAATACTATTTAAAGAAAGACTGTGGAGTGCTTTCGCTAGTTATCAGTGAGTGTTTCTATTTGTTTTAGAAGAAGCTCTCACCCATCTGTTATTCCCATCCTTGAGATTTCCCTCTAAAGTAAATTCTAAGTTTCCACCTTTATTTCAGATTGTCGTTTCCGAGAAAGCAATTTGGATTTTCAAATTGTTGCAATGAGATTCGTTAATGAATAGAATTCTAATGTACAAAAAAAAAAGGTTCAAATGTAACAGGAACCAAACTGTTTGGGAAATTACCAAAAATATGGAAATTAAATGTTTGGTTTAGTATTTATCAACCAGAAATGATTGAAAGGGTTAATCAGGCTTTGGGGTTGAGTTAACCCTCTTTTGATATATTAATTCCTGGCTGGAAAATGCTCTCTCACTCTGGGTTTCTTGTTGAATTGTCTACAAAAAACCCATCTTCAATCCAAGCAACAATGTTGAAAGCTAATCCTTCCAGCACTCTCGAATAACTCTCCAATACCGCTTGCCCCACATCCTGCAGAACCCATAGTTTCCATTGGTTTCTTCTCATTAGAGGGTCGAAAAGCTTGCATCTTTTAGACGAAAGCAATTTGGAGAAAATACCAGTTTTGATCGCTTACCCTGTTGAATTGAATTTTGCAGGTGTCCAAGGACGTTTGTGAAAGTTCAGGATACCTTTGCTTCAAGGCGAATAACAAGCTCTCTGCTCTTTCAGCTAATAAATGATTTTTGTCGCTTCGGTCGACATCGGACATTAAATCTTTCATCATGCTCCATGATGATTTTGAATTGCTCAAGCCCGCTTTACGTCTCCATGTATATATCGAAGCTTCGACACGGTCTGCAAGCTCAAGTGCTTCGTGTTCGGATGCTATATTCAGACAATCCAGCAGATATTCTGGGGAGAATTTTTCTGCAGAGTACATGAAGCGGTAAATCGCATCTCCGATACTGGCTTTCCCACTCTGTAGATTAGAGGAAAAGAGAGTTAGAGATCGAACCGGGACTTAACACCGAACATCAATCAACTTTTAAGAGTGATAGCATGAACTCAATGAGCTAAGCTCCGGGTTCACTATAGTTACTCTAATATGATCACCAGAAGGACTAACCTTTGGAAGGGATGCCATGTATGAATCTGGTATTTCCATCTCAGACAGAACACTGCTGTTGATAGACATAGCTGCCTTGTGAATTTGATTAGCACATTCTCGTTTGTGTCGCAAGTGCTTCCTTGTTTTCTCAGAGAGACCATTTGGAGGAACGCATGGCACTGGCACCCACCATTTCTCGTTGTTCCTCTGAACAACTCTTCGAAATGAGCCTGTACGGGTCGAATTCGACGACAGACTCCCTTGCTCCGCATACCAGAATTCTCTATCCTGGAAACTATCCAGTATCTCCTGTAAAAAGGATTTTAGCTATGGGAAAAGCTTTTCAATTATGATAAAAGACTTATTTTTTTCTCAAATAGAGCTTGTCTTACAATGAGCATTGCATCCAATTTTCTCAGTGCTGGAAGATTGATGTAAATATCCGACCTCGGTCTGCTTTCCATTATCTAAAATGGTCGAAAGAACATCGTATTAAAGCAAACAAAGATGACAAATCTCCCTCAAAATACACCTTTTGGTTCGGACCATGAAACCTTACCTCAACAGATGTTCCATTACGCAAATTCTGTGACTTGGTGGGAGCAAATTCAACAATGTAATCACAAAACAGATAAAAGACAGTCCATTTCTCTTTTCCAAAGTGCCTTCTTTTCAGGGTTCAAAGGCTCCAACCTCAAATTTTGCCCGAAAACAGTCGCTGCAGTAATCAACATTCAACATAAAACTAAGCATATTTCATAGAATTGAATGACAACTTTGAAAACAGTGTCATGTCTATGTACCATAAAGATTGGTTATGGCATTTGAGATGGTAACAGCCGTGCAGACTCCTTTTCCACTTCCAGACATGTCTTCTCCAAGTAAAAGTTTTGCAAATCTTTCCTTCATCATTTCAAGTTCTATCAAAGACAATTTTTACACCCATCAGCATAAAAACATATAATTTAGCATGGAAGATGAAAACTTCGTCAAATATTTTTACCTAAATCCAATGATTCCAATGCATCAAGCTTTTCATCTACATTGCTTTTGCACTGTTTTGTTCCAAGCCTTGTAAGAACAGTCAATTTCTGAGCCCCAGGTTTTCTTGCTGGCCAACGAGAAGGTGAAGCTTCACTACAACAACTATGATCATCAACTGGCTCCGAAAACACAGAGGCCCCGGAATAAGTCCTGCAATACAAGAAAGAATCGCCGCTCATCGTGGAACACCCTGGAGTTTCTGTCGTTGACTGATCATTCTGTTCAGTGGAACAAGGAGAAGGCTGATAACCCAGATCATAGTTTTCATCAGTGCTTGATAAATTGTCCATTTGAGCTGCTTTAATACTACTACTAGTATAACGTTCTCTGCAAATAATCATTGAACTTGGTCAGTGGGGCTCAAGATTTGAATACTTTTAAATCATAATCAAAACAAACTGAACTGATGGGACTTTAAGACATGGACCCGGGGAAGAAAAGAGGTTTAAACTGAATAATTTACATTGGAAAGAAGAAAAAGAAGGGAAAAAAAATAAAAGAAAAGACAAATTTTTCCTGCAGAAACGAAAAAGCAAAAGCTTGACGTCCTTAACACTCACAGGTCGTCGTTTTTCATCAGATTCTAAATATAATTCACTGAAATTTGAAAATAGGTAAAGGCCAAGCCAACGGTTTGATGATAAAGCAACATTCTTTTTCCCACAACTTACCTTCAAAGAGTACTGTAAATAGAGAATTTGAATTGGGGAACCGTTGAAGATAGCTAGTAATCTGATGAACGTTTGAAACAGTTCCCTCGTAAGCTTTTCTGCTGCCGTTGTAACCTTTTTCTTCCCAAAAGAAACACTTTCTTTTTGCATTCCCATGCGTCCATGATCATCCACACAAGAAGGGATCTTGAGTTCTTGACCGTCTGATTGGCGGGCTCCTTTTGTTTTTTCCGATCAAACAACAAAAACCCAGTTGCAAAACTTGGAAGAAAAAAAGGGTTTGATTTAATTCTTTGGAGAAGAAAAAGTTGCAAAAGTTTTTGGCTTCTTTTTGGTTGAAAGAGTGTTGTTTCCGTTTCTGATAGAACATGCAGAGTGTGTCTTAGTTGTAATCTCACATTGAATATTTATGAAGACTTGGGGTTGGTTATATTATATGATTGCAATTTGCAAATACGTGATGAGTATTTTATAGTTTGGTGAAACTGAATCTCAAGTATTTGCAATTTCCAGAGAAACTGTCACAAACTCTATCATTTAATCCTGAATTTGATGCATAAATTTAGAATTTTTTTTATCATAGATAAGTTACCATGTGAGAGGTCATTATGAGAAGATTAGTATACTAAATTACCTAATATGAGCTGATTTATCATAGATAATTTGTTTTTGCCAAATTTAACTTGATCTTCATGGATTATAAAATGGGAATTAACAGGCCCCCCACAATAAGTTGTCACGGTCGGAGGTTAGCTTGGAAACAAACAGCAAGCACACAAAGCCTTTGGGAATAATAATTCATGGGGTTCTCTTAAACTTTGGCAAGTCAAACATATTAGAAAAATCAATGGATTTACAGAGCAATAATTGATTGGGATGGACGTGCCTTCCATTTCTTTGAACCCTGAGGCACTTTAGGTCAAATAGAAACTTCTGCAAAAATGGTGTAATATTCATTCCATACAGATTTTCAAACCATGTGTCATAATCTTACATTAAGGCACATGCAACTGACTTCTTGTGTTGTTATTTCCCCTTAATCATCCTTGTGTTGTTTATCCACCATGGGAGGTTTCACTTATGCGAAAATAATAGATGAAACATTAGGTATAATTTTGAAAAAAAAATAATTTAATGACCAAAATAGAAACAAAATAATAGATGGGTGAACAAATAGGTAGTTTACTCATATATTTAAAAAATAAGTACTGCAATCGGGTATGGTTTTTGTGAATAAAACTTCAAGCCTAAAATAAAAACGACGTCGTATAGCTGGGTCCAATTATCGGATCACACATTTCGAATCCCCCGCCAGAATTAAAAAAAAAGTTGGGAGAACATTCTATCCGCTGTTATGGTAATAGCCAGTAAAGAGATGGAAAATTTCCAAGAGCCAATGGAAAGGAAGAAAAAAATCAGAGTTATTATTATTTTTTTGGTTTTCTCAGTATCCAAACAGTGAAATCCCCGAAAATTACTCTTCCAATCCCAGCGTTGAAACGGCTCCATGTCAAGCTCCATCTCGAGGCGTAGCAAACGAGGCGGTAAATTCTGAATGAAAAGAGACAAAAAGAAAACTGGAAAAAATAACATAGACGGCTCCGAAGACGATGAACATTTGTACTGTCCTGCAACTACAATATTAACTGTCGCTGCATCGACTTTAAGATTATAATTATAACCCAAGGTGTAATTTTTGTTCCAAGTTTCAAACAACCACCCTATATCGGTTTGGCAATCAAAAATGGAAAGTTCCAGGCCATCTTCTTCTTGTTCTACGGTAGATTATCCTCAAAAGATTATAGTTATAACCCAAGGTGTAGTTTTTGTTTATTTTCTTAATAAATAGAAGGGATCTGTTTTGTACCAGAGGATGGCAGTGCAGAAAGTTGATGCCGGCGGTCCTTATAGGCTGCTTCAATGTGCGAGTAAAGGCGATAAGGCCGGCGTCATACAAGAATTGGAGAAAGGGGTGGAGCCTAATGGAGCTGACTATGATAGGAGGACGGCTCTTCATTTAGCTGCTTCTGAAGGTTGGACTGAAGTTGTTGTTTTGCTTCTTGAGAAAGATGCTGATGTAAACTCTTTAGATCGTTGGGGTCGAACCGTAAGTTCAATTCATGTTCTTCCTATGATATGAAAATTTCTTTTATTTTTGGTTAGATTAATTTATATGAATGGATTTTGATGTGGGTGATTTTTGTAGCCATTGTCCGATGCACGTACCTTTCGACATCACGAGGTTTGCAAGATACTTGAAGCTCGAGGGGGGATCGACCCGGTATTTTGTGCTTTTTTCTGCATTTTTCTTGAGAAATTGTGCATGAGAACAAGATAGTTGTTCTGTTTTGTGCTAGGGAATCTTATAAGGCTCCCTTCGAACATTCTGTTTTGTGCTAGGGGATCGATTCGGTTACTAGTTAACTAAGCGAGTAATAGTGTACAGGAGTATGTCTGTGTTTGGTGGGGTTGAGAGCTCCTTACATACAATGTTGCTTCTCATTTGACATCTTATCATTTCCTTGTAATAGGTGGGGGTCGACTCTCAAGCTCCATGCTTTGAAATCGATCACAGCGAAGTCGACATGGATGAAGCAACCCTTATCGGAGAGGTAAATTCCTCTCTTTTCGATTTCATACGATTGAGCGCATCTGATATGATTGCCTCATATTTTCCTTTTTATCAATCTCTAATTCGGTGGCATTTCACCAATGCATACCAGGGAGCATATGGTGAAGTTTATCTGGTAAACTGGCGTGGCACTGAAGTTGCGGCAAAGACAATCCGTTCTTCGATCGCATCAAATCCTAAAGCAAAGTAAATCTTATATGCTACCACTTATAGCAAGCTTCACTCTCTTCTCTCTCCCTAAGCACTCTGTAACATACTTTGCAGATTACTAAATCTTCAATTCTGGTTATTTTAGCTTGACAATCATATCCACTTTGCTTATTTGCTGTTGAATATTTAACAGAAATGCCTTTCTGAAGGAATTGGCTTTGTGGCAAAGGTTGCGCCACCCTAATATAGTGCAGTTCCTTGGTGTTCTAAAGCACTCTGATCGATTGATCTTCCTCACCGAGTACCTCCGGAATGTGAGTATTGCCCCCTTTACATTATGAGCAACCTTCATAAGATCACCTTGTGCTTATTTTCATTTAATTTCGTCGAGTTAGGGAAGTTTGTATGATATTTTGAGAAAGAAGGGAAGACTTCATCCACAAACAGCCATCTCCTATGCTCTTGATATTGCAAGGTACATATTACAGTAAATTATTGATAAGCTTCAACTTCAAAATATCTTGTCGTTAATTCAGTCCCTCTACTCCGCTATTTGATTATGTTTACTTGTAATGTTGGGGCAGTTATCGAATCCCGAAATGAGCTGATTTCTTTTTGACCTTGCAGAGGCATGAACTATCTTCACCAGCATAAACCACATGCTATTATACACCGAGATTTGACGCCAAGGTATTGGAAATTAGATCTTCCGACCATGGAGTCAAGTCCTTGTCACTAGGACAGAATGTGAAGTAACTTGGATTACATGCTTACTTAGATAAGAAGCAATAGATTCTGATGCCTTCATTCTGTTGGTCTTGCAGAAATGTGTTACAAGATGAAGCTGGCCGCCTTAAGGTTACCGATTTCGGTTTGAGCAAACTTGCACAGGAAAAGGATTCCTATGGTTACAAAATGACTGGAGGAACTGGTTCATGTAAAGTTTCACTTCCTTCTGAAAAATTGAACAGTATACATTATGAGTTTTGACTTGGGTGCTGTTTCGAGATTTGCCAGATCGTTATATGGCACCCGAGGTTTACCGCCGAGAATCCTATGGGAAGAGCGTTGATGTCTTCTCCTTTGCTTTGATACTGCACGAGGTAACTTAAATTGTAAGCATGGATTGTTTATAAAATGATATAGCTTACATGGCAGATCAAGCAAGGCTACTTAAGTATCATATGGTTGTTGCTGTATATTTCCTCACAGATGTTCCAAGGAGGACCGTCAAACAGGGAGGAAACAGGCGAACAAATCGCTGACAAGAGAGCATACGAGGATTCGAGGCCACCTCTCTCTTCATTCATATACCCCGAACCGATCAAAATGTGAATTCTCTCGGTTCACCGTGCTAATATAAGGCTACCCTTGACAATTTTTATCATCAACCAAATTTAGAACTTGAGGTAATGATTGTATCAATTCAGTCTGATGGTTTTTGTTGCTGTCTTGATTCAGGCTTCTTAAAGAATGCTGGCACAGGAATCCAGATTGTCGACCGAAGTTCGAAGAGATAATAGTGCAGCTAGAGGTAATCGAACTGAGTTTTAAAGATGGGAGAGGAATGGAAGCTTGCTGTAGCTGTGTTGTCTTATAAAGCTATAACTAATACGTAATCACCAGTGGAGCACATTATCCACGCCATAAATGAGGTTTTCACTATAATTAATGTACGTTTGCTGCTCCTTTTTAACAGTGTTCTGTCGTTAGAACCTGTATTTTGATTTTTCTTTTCACAGCAAAAACCATGTAGACAACAAATGTTTATCATCCTTTTGAATGTGTGTATAAAACCTTATGGGGAATCTTACAAACATTTATATACATGTCAACAGTGAGTAAACGAGAATATATTACACCTCATATATATATAACACAATAACTTTAATTGAATAAATACACCATATCACAAGAACCTCGCTCCTGCACTACCGTAACACACCCGGACTCCACATCTACCATAGATTTTAAATTTTTTCTCAAACCTAATATATTGATAATTTTTCAAACAAAACTAAAATGGAATTCGAATCATAAAACTTTAATAACATATAATCCATGCTCTTATTGGAATTAAGAAAATAGTTTATCAGCATAAGTTGGGGGAAAAATTACAACATATTTTTTTATCAAATTCCCAACTGTTTCATTAAGTTTTGATACAGAAATTACAAAGCTGGTCCACTGAGGAAAACAACATTTTTTTCTCTTTCCCGACAAAAGGTAAACACAAGGGGAGGAAAATGTTTCTCGGTTCCCAATCAACGTGACGGGGAAGAATTTGTTACATAAACGGGCACAATTGATCAAACCCAACAAAGAATGAAAGAACTCTCGCATACACTCATAAAGGGAAAAGAACACAATAATAAAAGAAAGACAAAGAAATCAAATACTACACTTTCCCTTGCCATCACCCGGGGAAAACGGTTGCTTTTATATGGTTGAATTACAGAATGAATGATCACTTGGTTGAGCGGTCATTGCAGACTCCCAAGATCAATGCCAGGTTTTTGTCGCCGCAAACAAAGCACTGCAATTAGGAGACTCACTATCCGCATGGAGCCGTTTACTTCTTTCCAGCCACTGAACTTCTCTTGGCTTCAAGTGTTGCACCCTCCTTGAGTGCAATTTGAGACTCGTTCTCCATCCCAAGAGCAGCGAGTGCAGTTGCCTGAAGATAAGAAGCAATGTGCCATACTGGGGAAATCACTTGGGCTTGCATCGCATCATTCAGGCCTTCTTGAGGCGTGTCGTTAATGACATAACACAAGCTACGCCGTGCTAAAATAGTTGGAGAAACCATGGCACCACCATCGATAAACTATGAATTTATAAAGTAACTGTCAGTGGATTTCTACGAATACCTACAAATAAAGTTCGTGGAATCTGCACAAGAATATTTAAAAGAAAAGGTAGCAAAGATAATATTATGAAGTTACAACTAATGTTCTTTAAATTGATTGGAGATATCATTAAGAACTTAACCTGAGTGTAGCACTCAATAGCTTCTTTAAAATCTTTCTGCCTGAAAGCAGCATCACCCTTCTTCTTTGAATTCAATGTTTCCTGCATTTGGCCAGTCCACATTTGGAAGGAGAGCTGCAGGAAAACACAACAAATGTTTCAGAAACAATGGAAAACAAGTACTTTTCATGTTTAGATTGAAGCAAATATAAAAGAAAAATTGGAAATTTGATTATAACCTAC